AAGCGATTCTCTGCCCTGAGGAACAAAACTTTTGAAAATAATGTTTCTAAATTAGACCCGAGTTCCAAACCCTTTTGGAAACTCACAAAAATTTTGAAAAAACCTCAAAAGCCAATTCCAGCGCTTAAAGAAGGTGGTAAAATTTTGATCACAAATTTGGAAAAAGCTCAGAAACTTGCTAAGCAATTCGAGAGTTCCCATAATTTCAGTTTGGGTCTTACTAGTCCTATTGAGAATCAGGTTGCTCGGGATTTTCGGAATATTTTCTCTCGGGAAAATATTTTTGATGATTCCTGGGGGACTGATTTGGACGAAGTAAGGTCTATAACTAAAAAGTTTCAAAATATGAAAGCTCCAGGTGATGATGGAATTTTCTATATCCTCATCAAAAAACTCCCAGAGAGTACCTTGTCTTTCCTGGTAAAATTATTTAACAGATGTTTCCATTTGGCATACTTTCCTGATAAATGGAAAAATGCAAAAGTTGTTCCAATTTTGAAGCCGGATAAAAATCCAGCTGAAGCTTCTAGCTACCGTCCAATAAGTTTGCTTTCTTCAATAAGTAAACTTTTTGAAAAGATAATTTTGAATAGAATGATGCTTCACATCAATACGAACTCAATTTTTGCAGATGAGCAGTTTGGATTTCGCCATGGGCATTCAACTACTCATCAACTCTTGAGAGTTACCAATTTAATTCGTTCAAACAAATCTGAAGGCCACTCAACTGGAGTTGCTCTTCTAGACATAGAAAAAGCATTCGACAGTGTTTGGCATGAAGGTTTGATTGCTAAATTGAAAAAGTTTAATTTTCCACTTTACATTATGAAATTAGTTCAAAATTATTTAACTGACAGAACTCTGCAGGTAAATTATCAAAATTCCAAATCTAATCGACTACCTGTTAGAGCAGGAGTTCCTCAGGGTAGCATTCTTGGGCCTATATTGTATAACATTTTCACTTCGGACCTCCCTGATTTGCCTCAGGGTTGCCACAAATCTTTGTTCGCTGATGACACAGGAATTTCCGCTAAAGGAAGAAGTCTTCGTGTTATTTGCAGCAGACTTCAGAAAAGTTTAGATATTTTCTCTTCTTATTTACAAAAATGGAAGATTTCTCCCAACGCTTCCAAAACTCAACTTATAATATTTCCACATAAGCCCAGGGCTTCCTTTTTGAAACCTAGTAGTAGTCACATAGTCACTATGAACGGAGTTCCAATTTCCTGGTCAAACCAAGTGAAATATCTTGGATTAATACTTGACCATAAATTAACTTTTAAAGATCACATTGAGGGCATTCAAGCCAAATGTAACAAATATATAAAATGTTTGTATCCTCTTATAAACAGGAAATCCAAACTTTGCCTGACGAATAAACTTCTAATATTTAAACAAGTTTTTAGACCGGCCATGCTTTACGCTGTGCCAATATGGTCTAGTTGTTGCACTACCAGGAAAAAAGCACTTCAAAGGATTCAGAACAAAATTCTGAAGATGATTTTGAAGTTGCCTCCCTGGTACAGTACTACCGAAGTACATAGAATTTCGAATGTTGAGACTTTAGCACAAATGTCCAACAAAATAATTAATAATTTCCGGCAAAAATCGTTACAATCCTCAATTGCAACGATTAATTCCCTTTATACTTAGATAAGATTTAGTTTTAGTTATTTAGTTTTAAGCTATCAATTGTTATACTGACATGCAGGTTTAAAAAACCTGTTTAAAATACTGAATTGCCAAGACAGGAACAATGTAAAAACACTTAGATATATATCATAACAATTAAGGCTGGTAAGTTACTGTAGTAACTGGAGCACCTAGGTTAAAAATGAAATGTAATTTATTTTGAATTTGGAACAAATAAAGAGTTAAAAAAAAAAAAAAAAAAAAAAAAAAGTCAATTGCTTAAGATATAATTCTAGTGTTGGAAGCAAGGCAGAAACTAAGCTTCTAAGAGGGTCTTGTATGTTGAACATATTTAATATGAATTCCACAATGTCCGAAAAAGCTAGCAAACCTCGTTCGGACTTGGATTTCTTTTGAGAAGTTTGAGGAGCAGCTTTTTTGTTTTTCTTATCTTTGTTGGGTAATGGCGGAAAATCCTTACTGCAGCCAGGAAGTGGAGCAGTAGGAGCCTTCGATTTAATTTTTTCATCCCCATTACCCTGGGAATTTTGCAATCCTCTGGGAGTGACTTTAGTTTTCTTACGGCGCACTTTCGGGGAGGAGCATTTTCGTTTTGAGGATCCGTTCGTTTTCAAAGGTGCGTGTACCACCGTAGAGTCACCCTCATCGGATGAGTCAGAGTCCGATTCTTCAGCTGACAAAATCGAAAATTGATTTTCATCTTGGACGGCTGATGCAGCCTTCACCATTTGTGCATATGACTGCTTGGAGCGTCCAGAGATTGAACGCTGCACTTTATCGGAGTGCTGCTTGTACATCGGGCACTCCTGCAAGGGGTGAGGATTCTCGCCACAATAAGCGCATTTTACTGATTCTTTGTGGCAAGAATCCTCTTTGTGGTTTTCACCACATTTGCCACAACGAGTTTTGTTGCCGCAATGGCTGGCCGAGTGTCCCAGCCTTTTGCAGTTGGTACAATTATATACCCTCTGTACAAACAACCGCACCGGAAAAAAAGCACCATCAACTTTAACAAAGTTTGGGAGAACTGAACCAGCGAAAGTCACCCGAAACGAGTCTGAATGCTGATAAACTTTTATGCCATCTTGCAAAGATACTGAATGCAGTTGCCTGACATCCAGTATCTGTACCTGATCTCCGATTTTCGAGTTTTTGAAGCAACCCGATGCTCGTTTTAAGTCCGCGACACTCAGACTCGCGTCGGAGACCACACCTTCTATCTCCACATCTCGAGAAGGGATGTAGATGTTGTACTCAACACTAAGCTCATGTTCAGCAATTTTATTTGCCACATCATAAGTCGGTGCTTCTACACGCAGTTTATTGAATCTCTCTTTATGTACCAAGATTCCCGGATACTTACGCAGCAAGTCTCTTGAAATGTCGAGAGTTTTCAAAGGTTTATTTTTAGGCCGAAAAAAGACAACCCATGGTCCTTTTGAAGACGGTTGATAGTATCTAGTTCACGCAACGTAGGTATCTGAAGACGCCATAAGTGTTGCGCAAACGCGGTGCACAACCGCTTAAAAAGGAAAAAAAAAAATACTTCAAAAAACCTTCACCAATTAATCTACTTAACTACTAGTTGTTAATATTTTGTTGCCCAGTGTATGAACAACCAAGCAAAACAAAAACAAAATTACCAAAAAAAAAAAAAAAAACTTTTTACTAGTTGCAAGAAGTTGCACCACTATAGCCCTCACAACCCTATCAGGGGAGAGGGCAAAGCCACGCGCAAAATTCTATAACAAAAGCGCGGCAATGGGCTAGAGAAGACTATTGTATAGTATACTTAACACCGGCCGTTGCCGGCTGTGTGAGCTGGTGCAGCCACTCCGTTTGCTGCTTTGGAGTGGTGATGAGACGATGACGGTGAGATGATAGTCCACCTATAGCGTCGCTAAAGGTGGCTACTTCCTCTGCTGACTGCGGTTGCCTTGGGCACTGAACTTCGTCCACGGTAGGTAAAACGCGCGATATAAAAAAACCACTATGGTGGGGAAAAAAACTCCACCGGCTACGAAACCAATACCCGCAACGGAGACACGAACAAACTACGTCCGGCTACTTCAAGCTATCGGCGAGGAATGGGCAGTGTGATATCTAACATGTGTTGTTTACCATCAGTGTATGAAAGACAGAGAGCGCAGATAGGGCATGAACAAAGACAAGCATAAGGCGGTAGCCAGAAGCGTAGGAAAAGTGAGACGGAGGAGTTGAGGAGAAGGTTGGAAGCTAACGAAAATAAAGAGTGTATGTAAAAGCTAAAAGTGTTACAACAGAATATTCAGGATTCCGAAGTTCCCATAATCTACGAGGAGGATTTTACATTTTAGATATCACAGGCAGGTGCACTCCCACCACCATGTATACGTTATTTCTGGAGCAGAGAAGGAGGAGCCATTTGACAGCATGTATATACAATTTCGTGAGCTGTTCCAGAAGATTTTCAAAATGTTTTCTAGCTCACTTGAAATTTAAAATCGGCTAAGTTCGCAGTACTCCGATTTTTAGTTATCTTGAAAAATATTCAATAACTTTGTAGTCAGAATTAGCATTAGAATTAGAAATATTGATTTCGACGAGGGGGACGACTCTATCTACGATGCAAAAAAGATTGTGTTTTGCTGTGGCTAGCTCGCTAGCTGCGCGCACACTGAGTAGATAGAAAGAAGATTGATGACGATTCTGAAGATTTCCTGCAAAAAATTGATGAGCGATGCAAGTAGATGCGACAAATGAAAGAAGATTGTTCGAAGATTGATTCGCTAGTGTGAGATTTGTTGACCATCTAAACTTGAGATTTAGATGTGTCGCCCCCCTCGGATTTCGACACGTTTAAAGCAGAAGAACTGAAGGACAGTCCCCCCACCAGACTGTTACCATTTGGTAAATTTTCACTTAAATATTACAGATGATAATTTATTTTTCAAATTAACCTGCTATTACAACAGACTTATTTATGACAAGCAAGGCATCGATTATGAGAGAACCCGCATAAACAATAACCATAAGATTAAACCTTCTCGGAATTGGCCGATCCACAACAGAGGGATTTTTGAACATCTTATTTTATTTTCAAAGTGTCAAATTTAAGTGAAAATTCAGCAAATGGAACACTGCCTTAGTCCCTTTCGATTTAGTCGTCGAGAGATGTGAGCAGTTCGTCTTGGCTGAAAACTTCAAAATGCTCAAAATGATTTTGTTGGTAAACAATCTTTGCTTGTGTTGATTGTATTTCTTGCATCACACGCTTGGCTACTCACATGTGTGCGTAGTCCGAAACGTCAAAATTTATATGTTTCTCTGGCTGCATGGCCACTGACTTTTACCGATTTTTCGCTCTCAACGTCGCCTACAGAGTTGATGGAAACTTGAAAATCAATCGCGTCTGATGTTTTGGTGGTGTCCTGGTATCATTATTCATTCGGATCCAAAAGTGTTGTGCACGCACGGTGCGTGGGTGGTCCGATTCTATTAAAAGCATCCAGAGAATAAATCTATCGCACTACGCGCTACGGTCGGTCTAGAAAATATGTGAATAGGTACCAACAACGTCAGTGATTGGCTCTATTCGGTCCGCAGTTTTCCTCCATCACGTCATTATGGTCAGTCGGATCCCCCGGATGTTGTAATGCAGTGGTAAAATTAAGCATCAACACAAAGCCAGTCAGTTTGAATCGCATAAAAGTGTGTGGAAAAGGTGATAGATTGCAACATTCGTTCGTCTAGGTACTTCGTCGTCGTCGTTCGTGACTAATCTTGGTGGAAGAGGGAGCATAATCTACGACGACGAAGCCAGCCAGTGTATACGAAAATGTAAGTGCTAATTTCTTTGCCCTTTCCGTGCTTGCTTGCTCTTGCTAGCTGCTTCTGGCCTTGACGGCCGGCCGTGTTCCGTTTTGAATAACACTCTGGATGAGTGGGTTACTCTTATAGATAATGTGTAATGGAGCAGAAGAGGTTCTCGCGGTGTGCATGTAATAATAATAATACTAATAAGAGCAACAGCAAGCGAATAATGTGGAAACACGGAGCGTTCATCTCCGGATGTTGTGCTATTTTTGGCTCTGTGGTGGTGGATCGATTATAACCCGGGTGCGAATTGGATATTTTCAGAATGTACCCCACGAATGGCAAGCAAAGTGGTTTGTTTCCCCTGGCCGGTGGAGACGTCTACCGACGCTTGCAGGATCCGGAAGCGGACGATCGCAGTATTAGCTCGACCAGCAACGAAACCGACGCCGACGAGTACCATTCGTTGATTGACGAGACGTGCCGGAAGAGCTCCAAAGGCGGATACGAACAGCATGCGGGCAGCAGGGCAAGCCGGACGATTCCCTCCACGGGAGGGAACAACTGCTCGAGGAATCGAGTGTTCCTAGTCATAATAGCGATGTTTTCATTCATAACTCTGCTACTAACGACAGTGCCACTGGGAGGCGATAAGGGACGAGTCGGTGAGTAGTTGACAGTATTTTTATTGCTTTGCTTGCTTATCTTGGTTGTTCAATGTTTAGTTTGTTTTGTAACGTTTCGACGGAACCAATCGATCGATTACTTTGGGCCTTATCTGCTTTTTACCCCATATAAGTGGTACTATGTTTATGTGATTGTGGGTCACGATTTACGTGAGGCATGTGGGACAAGTGCACTGTGCTGTGGCTAACGATGTGCTGTGCGTTATTTACAATACTATGTGAAATGGGCATTGATGAACGATCTGTTAATTGTGTTCCATCGTGTTTTATTTTATTAACTATATATAGGACCATTTAAATGACCTTGAACCTAGGTATCAGCGTTGTCAGAACTATTTTTTTTGAATCGGATCGAAGGGCGGTGTAATGATGTTAGGGGCGGTGCATACATGTTAGGAGGAGTCCCATCTTCACACGGACTTTTATTATCATGAACTGACCGATGAATTGGTGATAAACCAGATGTTTTTCAAACCGTGTTAAATTGTGAACCTAAGATTGTAAGTGGGGCATAGTGAGCAAGCCGCGTTTTGCACAACTTGAATGTTTTATGTATACTTTTGAAATTTCAAACCATTGTTCAACAATCCATGAGATATTATGGGATTTTTGAGTACAATATAAAGGGAATTATGGGCTTTAAAAAATGGGTTCTACAGTTACGAAATTTTTAAAGTGACTAAAATATTGAATGGTGGGATTTTTGAATTATATAAAAAGAGTGATTTAGTGATAAACAAGCAATAGAAACCCCCCCTATTCTGCGAGACACGTGACTTTTTTTTTTTCTTTATTAAAGAGACTTTCAGCCTTGGGCTGGTTCGTCTCTGGGAATCCCAGATGGGGAATCCCCTATTTGAGGGGGGTGGGAATTCCAGAGGGAAATTACCCTAACAACATAGTTTGGATCCCAGAGAGGATTTCCGAAAAAGGGCGTGGGGCCCCAGAAACAAAGTTTTTAGCTACGGAGTTTTTAATTTGGTGGCCCTGGAAGGGAACCTCCGAGGGTGGGGCTCCGAAAGGGGTCCCTTAGTTGTTTAGAGTGGCTGTCTTAATACTGTCATTTTGTTGGAGAATTCCGTTTTCGTTGCGTTGGTCTGTATAGTTGCTGATGTGGGTGGTTAGTTGTGAGATTCAGGTTCCGAGTGTGATCTGGTATGGTGGTGATGATGATGATGGTGAGATAGGTGATCAGATTAGATCGAACAGCTCAGATTCCCGCAGGAAAGCTAGAAGGGTTGTAATTCTGGTAGGATCGTTACCGAGGGCATCGTTGATGCTTCCCGGGATGTCGTAGCGGGTTCTTGGTGCTTCGTATTTCGTACAGTGGCAGATAATGTGATCCACCGTTTGTAGAATTCGGCATAGATCACAGATCCTATGGAAAGGTCCGTCTCCCTTGTAGTTGTGGAAGATGTTTGTATGATGTGTGCGAAGTCGGGATACTATGACCTGCTCTCGATGTATCGGTGGGTCCGCCCACCTGGAGATGTCTCTTTTAATTTTTCTGATGGTAGGGGTTTCACTGGCCGCCCAATCGCGAGCCCAACCTTCGTTGGTTATTTTTGATACCCATTTTTTGAGGTCCGGAACAGGTACAATTCGCGTGTACTTGGCCATACAACGACCTGAGTTGGCTAGTTGGTACGATTTTACCTTACCATGGACCCCGCAGTGTCCAGGTATCCACACAAAGACTGTGTTGTTTGGCGCGTGTTCCTGTATAGGCTGGATCCAAGGGTGTTTGCTCGTATCGGATTCCAGTGCGGCTACCACACTAGCGGAGTCGGTGAAGATGGCTATTGATCGGTCGTCGGGAATGGTGGCTGCAATGAAGGCGGCAATGGCTTCCGCAGAGAAAATGGAGCACTGATCCGGGAGTCTATGGCATTCCGCGAGGTTTGGACCGAAAATCCCGATTCCTACCTTTCCCTGGGCTACCGAGCCATCCGAGTACCGAATGGTGTATCCTCCGTATTTTCGGTTCTGGAGTTCGAGTACCGCTTGTGCCACCGCTGAAAGATTGGCACCAGCTCTGAATTGGTGTTTGATTGTGTGGTCGGTCAGAATCTTCGGCTTGTTCCAACCCCCCGCTCCGACCCAGTAAACCTTGGATATTGGGGGGAGAGTCGGGTTGGATGCTTCTCTGAGTGAATTGTTCGCCTCCGTGAGGAGGGAATCTTCCTTGTCGTCTCCTGATGTCTGCTGGTAAAGTCCGATGGCTCTTTGGCAGACAGTTTTGGAGATGAAGCGATCAAAGGGGAGCAGTCTTCCTTCGATGCAAGCAGCTATTCCCGGGATACCTGGCAAAAGACCCGAACAGATTCGGAGAGATTGTTGATAGACCGGCGCTAACTTTTCGATCAATCGGGGCTTGGCAAGGAACGTAGCTTCGATTCCGTAGGTTAGGCGTGAGTTGATGATGACTTTCTGTGACAATATTCACGTCGTGTGAGGTGACTGTTCCACGATAGCTCACTGGTTCGAAATACGATTTCGGAATGTGATGGTTTTCGCGAGAGAAACACTCGAATACGTCCGTCGCATACAATTTTTAGTTTATTTCTGTTGTTCGTTTCATACAGTGCTGCCAGTGGAATTTAGAGGACAAAATAAGATTATTTGAAGTGGCAAATATTACTCAAAGATGTTTCGTTATCTCACAACCGTTCATTCTCCCCCCGTTGAGGCCTGTGGCTCAACAGAAGGCAGCACAGCGATTTTAGTCACCGCCCGCTTGTACTCGCTCGTCGCCGTCCGGACCGTGACCACTCGAACGGCTCCGTCGTCACCAGGATGGGTCGCCACTATACGTCCTGGACGCCACTGCTGAGGAGGCAAGTTCTCGTCGACTAACCGCCTCACGCCATCGTGCCATTTCTGACGGCTTTGGAGATGGTGTAGATACTCCTTAGACCACCTACGCCAGAAATGATGCTGCATCAACCGGATATGTTGCTATAGGCTTAAGCGCCCGATCTTCTCGTATTCGTATGATGGTTCCGGTAAGGCTACTGCTGGCCTGCCAATTAAAAAGTGTGACGGCGTAAGTACTGACATATCGCTTGGATCCTCCGACATAGCGGATAAAGGGCGCGAGTTGAGAATCGCCTCCGTTTGAGCAAGAAATGTATTCATTTCCTCCGTTGTCGATCTTGTTTCGCCAACAACTCGTTTCATGTGGTACTTCAGAGACTTCACTCCTGCTTCCCAGATCCCACCAAAGTGGGGACTTCTTGACGGGATAAAATGCCAAGTGATTCCCTTTCCCCAAAGACGACAACGTATCCCTTGAATGTCTTCGTGCTTCTTCCTTCTGGTTTCAGTTGGAACGGTCCAGCGTAATCGATACCAACCCGTGAGAATACTGGAGCAGGGTTAACGCGAGCCTCCGGAATTAGATCGATGCTTCGCACAAATTTGTCGTTGGGAAATGATGTCCATTTTTCCTGTTCATAACCAAACAAGTCAGGGGAAACATGTCAGAAGGGTATAACTCGAAACGTAAACAATGATTTTGAACGTCGATTTCTCTTGAATGACCACACACCCACGGAATCTAACTACACTAGCTCATAGAACAAACATTTCTCTGTCAGATGATTTAGTTAGTTTGAGTGGAATCAATCAATTATAAGGCCTTGTCCAATCTCAAAAGTGCATGACGCATGACGACACTTTTTTTTTTATAATCCATTTACGCGTAAAGGCTCAAATGTGGTAGCTTTGCGGAGCCAAATTAATTTAAATATAAATTTTTATAATTTTATATTTTCACAAATAAAGTTAGTAGAATGGGGGCCGAATACTCGCGGTTTACTCGAGATTAATAAATACATTTATTTAGAGGAATGGGGAGGGGGCAAAGGGAAAGGGATATTGGTAAATCTTCTTTCTGCTTCATTCGACGGATGAGTGTCACTGCACTGTATTGGCGGGCATGTGCTGTGGATATCGAAGCATTGAAAGCACCGCTGAAATGATACAAGAGGGGACTTGGGTTGGGATAGTGATGAAAGAATTAAAACACACTACTAAATACACAAATCAGCACTTTTTAAAAATACGTAAATTAATCTCATAACATCGAGATCACGGCAAGCCAGAACGTCTCTAATTGGTGTATAAGGTTGTTTCCCTCGGGCCCTGAGGGATTCAATTAGTTCGGATCTCGCCACATGATGTGAGGTGCAAGACCAGACAACATGCTCAATGTCGTGGTAGCCGTTTCCACAGGCACACAAACTGCTATCTACAAGCCCTATGCGGTAGAGGTGTGCGTTTAACGAGTAGTGATTGGACATGAGCCTGGACATTACCCGGATAAAATCGCGATCCACGTCCAATCTCTTGAACCAGGGTTTGATCGACACCTGTGGGAGGATCGAATGTAACCATCTTCCCAGTTCACCATCATTCCACTTTTGTTGCCAGTTGATGAGGACTTGCTGACGAGCAATTGTGAAAAATTCATTGTAGGCGATTTGTCGCTCGTAAATGTCGCCTTCCATAGCACCCACCGTAGCCAGCGAGTCTGCTTTCTCATTGCCCGGGATAGAGCAATGAGAAGGGACCCATACTAAGGTGATGATATGTGAGCTGTTTGATAAAGCACTCAGTGACGATCGTATTTCGTTAAGGAAATACGTCGAGTGCTTCATCGGCCTTATAGAACGCATAGCCTCAAGAGAACTTAGACTTTCCGAAAAAATGAAATAGTGATCAGGGGGACGTGAGGAGATCTGCTCTAACGCATACAATATAGCTGCTTGTTCTGCAACGTATACCGAACATGGTTTTTTAAGCTGATATGAGGCACTATGGAGATCATTGTATACACCAAAACCAGTGGACGTATTTATTGTGGACCCATCAGTGAAAAATCTCTTCTCGGCATTGACGTGGCGGTATTTGTTCGCGAAGATGGATGGTACAATCAGGGGGCGATGGGGCTCTGGTATTCCTTGAATTTCCTCCCT